GTCTGTAGGTTTGGGAGCCCACGGCTGCTTGCAATTCTGCTGTTTCCCCCTTGAATATTGTTCAAAATGCTTGTAAGAATTCAGGCTAAGTGCTTCACATGGATTTGATTTACTGACCGGTAGCATTTAATCCGTGCGCGTTCTTCATAGATCAGTCATCAAAGTAAGGAGAAATTCGAGTTATCTACTCTAGTAGATCGAGAAAACGTTAGTTCGATCGACGAGTGGAGAGGATAATACAGACCTTTTAGAAAAAGTTTTTTGTATATAAATGACAGAAAAAAAGCAAAAAGAAAATAGATTTGTCGTTTTAAAACTTTTTTTTTCTTTTTTCTTTTTCTAATCTTTTTTAAAAGGTCAACTATTTGTCATAGACTTTTAAAGCATAATATATTTTTGTGTTTTTCTGTTTCTATGGCTTGAGTGTCTTCACATACAAATACTGATAGTATCATTTTACAGAAGAAACGAGAAAACGAGCAAACAGAAAAGCTTTCTTATTGATCCCCAAGCAAATATCACCTATGGGAAAAATCTAGATTTCTGATACTGATCTGATCCTACAAGATCTTACGTATGAAATAGTAAGATTACATAAGTCTGTGTCCGATTTTATACGGTCCTACATACGAATGAGACATGATTTTCACAGTTTTTAAAAAATGTGAATTGTGATGAAAAAGTGTGACTTAATAAACATTTTTCGGAGAATTCTCCAGCCGGTGATTTTCTATTTTATACCCACGTCGACTCTCGCGCCCTAGTCGCGGCGCGTACGCGATTTCGCGCAAGCGATCGCTATGAACTCCCGTTGTCGCTTCGTAATCGCTATTGAGTCGAGAAGTCGCAGCGGGATCCTGAAAAATTCTTACCTAGGTAGAAGAGGAATTTTTAAGAGTAGTGGTGAGTTCGCGATGTCACGGCGCGAGTCTTGTGATCGCGAATTTCAACAGCCGTACTCTGCTTAGTCGGGCCCCGACTCTTGCTGCAGCAAGCTTTTCTTCAAAAGACTTGGTTAGTCGCGGCGCGATCGCTAAAAAATCTTGTATCTATACGACTTTTTAGCGATCGCGCCGCGACTNATACAAATCTTTGGTTTGGCGGCGGGGCCTTCCAAAAAAATTTTTTTATATATCCCCTTTTTCCGCTTGGGCGCGGCGACTAACCAAGTCTTTTGAAGAAACCTTGCAGCTGCAAGAGCCGCGCCAGATTTTTTTCTGAATTCTTAAACTCGCGCCGTGATCTTGACCTAATCTTATTTTTAAAAAAAATCTTTTTTTAAGATTCGGTACACGATTAATGTATATTATCGGGGCACCATTTGCGCCGAGATAATCACAGATATATAAACAGTAGTATTTTGTAGTCGCGTCGCGAGTCGCGATTTTTATCGTTGAGTTGCGATCTAAATAGAGGAGTTTTAAAAGGTCGCGGGGCGAGTCTTGATTGTTCTGTGTTATACCTCATATTATCTTTCTGAACTTATATAACACACACATAGTGAGAAAAAGAAAAGAACAGGCCACGTGTATGTGTGTTGTGCTCATGGCTACGTTGTTCTCTTCTTTTATCTTTAACCTGTTGTATACACAACGCGTTGTGTATACAATAGGTCAAACATACACGTTGCAACGTGTATGTTTTCTTTTAATAGTCATTTCTTTTTTGTTATCGCAGTGTTAACTTTACTTTATCATGTAGTCTATTGCAACCATACACTGCTTTTTCAAATTTTTTGTGTTAATACATAAGTTTGAAATATTAAATAATATATAGCTAAAATTGTGGTAAGTACATAGCAGTTCAGTGTGTGGACGCGGAAAAAAATAAGCTCTTTCGTTTTCGCTACATTTGTTACACAGTTGAGCCGTTTTTCTCCTAACAGTTTTGAAAGTCAAACACTGGGTTACCTTTGTCAGAAAATGCACAAAATCTAAGAGATTCGTCTATAGAGGTTCAATTAGCATGTGGACCGTGTTAAACGATCTCAAAATAAATGCACTAAAGTGAGAAATGCGCCAAATGGTTGATTATCATCTATGAGTTCCCTCGGTGTAATATCGCTTTGTTGTTGGTGACTTACAGGATGTAGCGAAGATCGGTTCGCTCCTATTTGACGCACGGAGGATAGCGGCATAGTTCCAAAGCACCTCCTTCACAGTATTCTAGATTAGCTCTCGGCTCTGGCAACGAACTGTTCACAGCGTTAGTAGGTCTCGGATACACATCCTCTGTAAGTACAAGCGTGATGTTTCATCACATACAGCAAACGTTTCCTTACGGTAAAACCCATAGACGAGCAATACGATATCAATCTATCTCACGTATATTTTGCGATCTAATTGCAGTCTCATGGCAAATCAGAATTGAAAAGTATAGATGAATACCGTTAGGTCAACCGTTGATGATAATCTTGAAGCATTTACTTTCGAATTTGATTTTCCAAAATACCTTCTGACTTAGCCATACTTCAAAAAAAACGTTTAGTTCAACTTTGTAACAACAGAAAAGGCGAAAGGACTTCTTCACTGTGCACCAGATATACTGTTCTGAAATAACTGTGTACTTGTTACGTGCATCATGTTCCGAAGAGTAAGCCGGTAAAATATGGTGCACTTAAGTGTTAAACTGGATGCTGACAAAGTATCCTTTCTCCCTGAAATGCAAACCTCTGATATTACTCTTTTTCTGGTGCTTATCTTTGTTTGTGATTTTACTGTGATTTATCGTAAATAATATTGAATGAACATATAACAAAGAAGAAAAACTAGTATACTCGAGGCAACTTTATCACAAGGCTGGATGATACTCCAAGCAAGAAAACAACAGTGTATACATTGAGTTCTGAAATGATCTGAAGAAGCTATTTTCGACCGGATAAATCTAAGATGTCTTTGGAGAGATTCAAATCTTGAAAGCAGAGATGAGATGGTCGTACTCCTCTTAAAACGCTGTAGGCAATTTCTGTTTCTGGAAAACTGTTAAAGGAGCAAAAATGGGATAAAACTAGGATCAGAAAAAATCTGAGGCGACTATGCATGATTCTTGCAGAAACTTATCGCGACTATGCACGATTCTTGTATAGCCGGTCTGCATAATAGGATTTGCGACGCGACTGATCGCGACTCTTAATAGCTTGTGTCACAGTTTTAAAACAAGGCAAGACTCGTGCCGCGAGAACGCAATTTTCTTATATAACTAACAAGATCTTGTCGCGAGGATCACTATAGTAAGACTCTATAGCGATCGCTAAAAGCGCGGCCTATTTCGCGAGTCCTATAGCGATCGCGTAGCGCGTTCGCGCCGCGATTTTTTGGCGCGAGTCGTGCCGCGACTGAAAATCGACCTGGGTAGGCTACTATGATAGTGATACTGGTTTAGTTTTTTGTTCGTTTATAATACTAGATAAATAAAATTCGTCATTTATATTTGAATAATAAAGATAAACGGGTGATTTATTTTTAAAAGCTTAACGTAAAATAAACAAATAAAGACATTATTTTACGATATATATGTAGTAGGTCCGGAATGTTCTAATGTAGAATATTCCGCAACTATTGCTGTTTTAGAACTGTTTTAAAACAACAGAATTTGTTATTATTCAGACGAAGTACTTTATTCAGAAGATGTTTCTAGGCATTCTACGTATCAGAAGATGTCTGTAGGCAAAACTTCAAAGAATAAAGAAATAAAAATGAAATAAATGGTTATTCTCCTTCTGCAACCATGGTTTTGCGCTTATTCTATTCAATCTTCTCTTTTCGAGCTAGGTTAGTTTCCCAGTCGATGTGGGTAATTTATCATGACTTAAAACCACTCATTTAGACAACTGAACAGGAATAATCAGCTCACGATTTGAGGTGGGAGTGAAGGCATCAACGATGACATACTAAGATTTCCCTGCTTGTTCATTCACTTGAAAACAAAAAATAAAATTTTTACATCCGAATTGATCAATATTATGTACTGACATCAGATTGGTTCATCTTAGTAGAAGTAATATTCTGATTGTATAAAGGCAATTTTCGTTTGCATCTAAACACCTTAACTCAATACTCTTTCTCAGTAGGCAACGTGCTAATTCCCAATGAGTATGTGTTTCATAGCAACAGCCAGAACAAGGAAGATTTGGTATTTAATGCTGATATTGTTCAATTCAGCTGAATTTTTGTTGAAGTTCATGCGCATTAACGTCTTTTGTTACCAGAATTAAAATGTTCTCTATACGAACGACCGATATGATTTTTAAAATGTGTGAAATGTCAATCATATTTTGCGGATCATATTTCTGTTCTCTGTGTTGACTTTGTTACTGTACTTGTGATTCTGGTAACTAAAGTGACTGTGTTTGGTGTTGTTATATGTGCCCATGATAAAATGGATTACGACGACAACTAATGTGAATACTTATGCTTCCGTTTTTACTAACATTTATTTGTGTTCATTTTGTTATTCAGCTTTTTCCTTTTCTATCAACCCTATTTGGGCTTCATCAGTTGCCAGAAACTGTTCTTTCAGAAAAACTCAAAAGAACTATCAGACGATTAAAATTACTTGATAAGCTTCAATATCATACAATGAGCAACGCTCTTTCAAGTGAGATATCTCGCAGCTTTAGTCGATCAGTACGCACGGAGATATCTTATTTCCCAGAGGAACCTCATTCATACGATTTGACCAACAAATCCATCGTTTCGGATCTTAAAAATTCAAATTGCTTGCTTTTGACGATACCGTCTATTGATAGGTTCAGATAAGAACGTCTATTCGACACCACTGGATCTACACTGGATCAAAACTACTCAGGGAAGCTGGCTTATTGTCCAACTCATGAACTATTACGGACAACTTCAGAATAAATTAAAGCAACGTTCATACGTTCATGTTATCTTTGCATTACTCGTGAGCAGTAAAAATCTCAGCTTTTTCGAGACTAAAATGTTTAGCAGTGCGACTTGGGACGACAAAGTGAAACTATTGTTCTAATCGTTTTCTACTTCTTATAATATACGTACACTATCGCCACGAAATCCAAACTCAACAGCAAATGTCCACGGTAGTGAACACATCTTGACATTGATTGGTATCTCATACCTTTTCTTTGTACGATTGTTGAACAACTCAATCTTTCTCTCATTGCAGTTCAATGTTAGCTCTAGTCTGTCATCATTAATGATATCACCATCAAAACCACCATAACCATTGTAAGCGCCATTCAGATAAACCCAAGCACATCTTTTGTTAGCTCCACCCCATCCATAAGCAGATGACAAGAAGTCAGCTCCTTCCCTTCTTCCATTGGAAGGAGACATAATACCAACGAATATCCAGTCACTTGCTTTTACGACTTCGACCGAAATTTGATGAAGACCGCTTGAATACAAACTAGTGCCGTAAACACTTGCATCTCCTGACTTTGAAACAGCTAATCGACCACTCTCGCTCACTTCTATGTCACCAACAGCTTCACCAAATCTTTCTTCTGTAGTTGGGTGGTACTTGACATGAGCCTGACTTGATATAACTCGAATCAGCATCACCGAGGCAAACGAATCTTCAGAGACATCGATGTTTTTCGGTCGATCTATTTCATCTTTGATTTTGTTCAGCTCTTCTATCCATTGATCGAGATCTGATTCAACATAATCTTCAGTGTTGCGTCTATATCTCAAATCATCAGTTATTCGTCGAAAGGCTTTCATTGTTTTGTGAGCGTTTTCATCTAACAGTTGTTGAAGCTGATTCCGAGCATCGCCAGACGCTTGCCTGATTTTGTTTATTGATTCTGTTTCCCACTTGTCGATTTGTGTGAAGAGAGGATGTTTTGCCATTGGGTCAGAAATATTTTGTAGTTGCTGTTGAATGAGATCATGCTCGAAAACGATTGTGTCCAGTCGCTTCGCTAACGCTTCTCGATGTCCGTTCGAATGTTTTCGACAAAACTTTTGTTGACAACCTTCGCATGCAAAAATGCCAATCCCTTTATCGCACGTTGAATGAGCACATGGTGTCTTGGATGTCATCGGTGGATTCCACTAGAAATATGAGACAATGACAGTAGAGTACCTAAGTTGACTGAAGCAGAAGTAGAGAGAGTGATATCGAAAGGGCCTTCACTGTTTAGAATAATGTAATTATTTAACCGAGAGATTAGCAAGATGCAAAGCCTGCTTGTGAGGTTGATCACAAACAGTTTCACTAGTTAAGCACCAGTTGTGCTATGAGACGTTTGTTTCACGATAGAAGATCATACATTCTGAAAGGAAGAGCAGTAGAAAATATTGAAGAGAGTAATGATAGCTGATGATGATGTAAGAATCGCGTCGAAAGCTGGAGAACCAAATAAAATATTGGATTTAGTTAAAATCTTATCGTGTATTTCGTAGCAGTTTTATACTCACTATTCTCTACGATCATACATTCGTCGACAAGTGCGAAAAGTAACGTTCTCTACCTTCAAAAGTATTATGGTTGTGTGTTGCACAGTTAATACGTATTGTTTCAATGTGACAAAAATCAAGCATATATTCTCGACTGTAGTTGTTGTTACAGAATGATGTTTATTGACATTAAGAGAAAGGAAAAAACCTGAAACGTGTGAGTTCGTTGAATAAATAGGGGTATGAATCAAACAGAGAAGAAGAAAAAAGAGGAAAGAAGATTTTGCTTTTGAACGATGACAGCTTTTCATGTGCAGTGTTTGTTGCTCGAGCCAGAAGACCTAAAGATTTCATGGACAAATCGAGTCTACATAACTTACTACAAAGGCGGGAAACTGAAATATTCTGGGAAGACAGAAAACGAGAACCCAAGAGAATCGTGATAAGTCATACCTGATTTTTTCAAATTTAAAATCTGCCTAGGCAAAACTAAAATTCTAATTTTGACGAGAGATTTGCTAGACAAAATTAAAAGGACCCAGTCGGATGCCGAACTTACTGCCACCTACAGAAACCAAAAAGAAATATTCTCTCTATGCACTTTTGTAGATCTCGCCTTGGGCTACAAGTCCCTATATCCAACATCTCCATCCGCCCCTTACTAGCGGAGAGAAATTCGACTTTTCATCAATTTCCACGGCTTTTCGACTTCGATGTCTTCCAGTATTTTGAACTGTGTGTCCCACAGGATAGGTGACCAAGCGTCAACGTTTGCCAGAAATTGCGCACAAGGTAGAGCTACAAAATTCACTATTTGAAGGCTCTCCTACTAGGGCGCGTCATACCCAAAATGACCTAGCATAAAAATTTGAAGTCCAATTTTAAGGTCGTTTTTCATTTTTCTTGCTCAGTTTTCATTATTTTACGTATCACTTGTCAACAAAGTCTAAATATAGGATCATATTCGGGCTCAGCATAAAAAACTGAGTCGAGTAGACTATACTAGAAATTTTTAGATGGTCTTATGGGTAGCTTTACTGAGTATATACCTGATTGCAAAGATGGATCGTACAGTTGACCCTATACTTTCCAAAGTTCGCTTGTTTTACCAATATAAATACACAGTTTTGTAGAGCTTATTTGGGGCTACACGATGCACTATCTGAATTTTAGTTTTGAGTGAGTAAAGATGCCAAAAGCGGCTGTTTGGTGAAGAGTCGCCATGAACCTATGAATATCTTAGAAGCCCGATACGCATGTCTCCTCTAAACATTGTTTGATAACACTCAAAACTTCGCGATAGACATGTTTTTAGACGCTCTGTCTACTGATACCCTCAAAATATCAAAATAATAAATCCAAGTATAACAAGTTTTCTAGAGATCTCCTCGAAAACCAACCGATTTCAGAAACCATATTTCGCACTTTTGACCATCAGGAATTGTACGCCATCTGAAATTGTATCTCTCTTGAAATTTTCACCCTCCTACACGTCTAGGGGGAGGAGATAAACCGTTGTTAAATCATGAAAAACCAACGACACGATAGCATATGACTGCCGTCCACTATTTTGTTTTGTATTCGCTCAAATAAAACCTTTTTCGCATGAAAATTTCAAGAGAGATACAATTTCAGATGATTTCACATAAACTTTCTTGTTGACTAATGAGTTTAATTTCTACACGGTGATGATCCTTAGACATTCCTGGTATTAAAACTGTCATTTTACGTGGATCTTTGAATCCAAGAACATTTGTATCCTAAAAGATATTTTATGTATCAATTCTTTGTTTACCGATTGAAAATTGACTTATACATAAAAAAGGGCAGCCAATTCGCGCCGTCATTCTGGCGATGCTATATGATATTGTTCTGGCTTTGTTCCAAAATCGAAAAAAAAAACTTTATCAGCCATAAATTCTGTTTTATCAAATGAAATCGTTATTCTATAATGCATATGAAATGATGAACAGAGTTATAGAAAATAATTAGCATCTGTTCCATTAAGAAGAATTAAATTTTGAATATTTGTCTCAGTATGTGTAAATTCATCATCATCTGGACAATCGTAATCTTGCTTGATGTAATGACTCATTAAACCAACATACAATAAATATTTCTGATTGGGATAGTTCAGACTTAATTTTTCTATAGCGCGTTTTAATAAAGTGGCAATAACGCGATCTTTGTTTCACAATAAATGCGATGACATATTAGCATAAATTTAATTCTTCTTAATAGAACAGATGATAATTATTTTCAGTAACTCTGTTAATCATTTCATATGCATTATAGAAGAACGATTTCATTTGATAAAACAGAATTTATGGCTGATAAAGTAATATGGGAATCATTAGAACCAGGCAAAACAAACGACAGAGAAATGGATAAATCTTTTATGTTTAGTGTTCTTATAGTCAAGCAGTGCTGTTTTGGTCTACTCTTTTGGCTTTATGTTATTTTACAGTCTATTTATTTTCGCTCTTTATATAAATAGAAAAAGAATTATTTCCCTTTTTTTATCTTGTCACTCTCTACATTTTCACTATACCATTGTTCAGTGGACAATGTAAACATTGTCCAACATTACGGATGATTAAAAGTGGCATAACAATGCCGATTTCACAAGTAACTTGTGAAAGATCGTTCTCGAAGATGAAGATAATCAAGAACTATCTTCGCAATTCCATGTCTGACAAACGCTTAAGCGACTTGACAGTCTTGGCTGTTGAACGTAATATTGCTATAGATTATGAGCGAGTAGTAGATAAATTTGCACGAAATCACAAGAACAGCAGGATTTTATTGTCTTAAGTTATCTTCCTATATACTTTTAAAATAAATAGTCAAGCTCGCTATACATTGATGTGAATTATTTATTTAGTATAGAACAAGAAACATTTTTGATGAATCCAAAAATTGGAAAAGGTTTAAACTACATTTTTTTGTCCTTCAAAATTCAGTGAGGCCGAGCCCACCCTGGTCAAAATTCAGGAGGCCTGGGCCCACCCTAGTCTAAATTCCTGGCGCCGCCGCTACATATATGAAAGCAGATCTTCAACTTAAACTGTACCTCCTTCAGGTACAATAATATCAAAGAAATACTAATACTCATTGACATTTTGCAAATAATAATAATTTATTGTAATAAAACTCTATTCGACTGACATGGAAAAGTGATCTGATCATATCATTTTATAGCTTTATCACATTAACGTTTTATTAGTGACCTTCGAATAACCAACTAGATTTTTTTGTGAACAGATCAGTAGGAAAAAAGAAATACAGCCGTAAATATATAGGGAGTGATGCACTATAAATAAAAATCATACATGCAAATTAACTATGTGAAAAACACCTTAATGGAACATTTTAATAGAAAAAAGTGTAAAATGTGAAGGCTTCTTAAGTTTACACACCACATATATCTAATCGATTAGAAACTCATTTACGTATTTATTAGCAGCTTATGAATTCTTTCTTTTATTATGAATACGAGTAAATGGCATAGCCATTGTACCTTTCGTAAAAATTTGTTTGAAAGAAAAATCAAAGTAGTGTTAAACTGATTAACGAGTTACGTGTTAGTGTGATAGAGAATTGCAAAAATGGCTTTTCTCTATACTTCATCTACTTTCTTCAAAAAAATTTGGTTTATTCTGATTATAGCTAAAATCTCCGCTTGACTTTAGTCTTTTCATCGTACCTTTTTGTGCACGTACCTTTTCTCTTTTCCAAATTAGATACCGTTTCTGCTTAATCTGAAATCTAAAAATGGATGTTCAGCATCTAAAAGGTATCTCTGATAGCCTCATATCAATCATTCGAGAGAAAGTCATCAGCATCTCTCAGAACACACGTTGACTCTTCAGCTATCGCCGCCAAAATGCAGTCGCAGATGCCATATTTTTAATAACACGGTAACAGCGTAAGATAGAAGGTTGCAGTTTTCAACAGTCAAAAGCAGACGCCTGAGTCTAGCTTTTCATAAGTAAAAACGGTTGTTGAAAAAATTTCTGAAGTCGATTTTTGCAGCGGATCTCTGGAAAACTAGTTTGGATTTATGGAACTAACATTGAAATAGGCCAATTTTTTTCATAGACATATAGTCCGAAGTGTCCTCTACAAAACTCGATCTAAGGAATATCTCGAAAATCCATGGTTCGGGTACTACCGACGTTTTCCCGAAGCCTCGGAACTCCTCTGTCTTTAGGTTTGGGAGTGTCAGAAATGAATGAAAACATAGATTATCGACTATTCTGAATCCCGTGGCAGTGTTAGTTTCCAAAACAAAATGCAACAAGAGAGTGAAAACCTTTACTGGGTGAAATAACTAATTTTGGCTTTTTCATCAAAAACTAGAAAATTCATAACTGAATAAAAATTCATCCAACCTAATTTAGAATGTTAGCAAATATTTTATTTTCTCCGCTCATTCTGTACTTAGGGCCAATAAAACTTCAGAAAACCAACAGAAAACACTTTTGTTTCTAGAAAAATTTCACAGAAACCTTCAAAACTAGACAATAGTTTTTATTGGCTCTAAGTACTGAAGTGTCTAGCCTATCGCCCGCTTGTTTCTCTCCATCTTACGAACTCCTTTTGTCCTGGTGACATCGCTCCTGTCGTTTAATTAGAGGTTT